CAGTTTATTTTACAATTAATGCATCATCCATTGTAATTAACTGAAATGAGTATATTCTATTTTGGCAACAATCGAGTACTTTTAAAAGGTTCATCTCTCACTTTTATTTTGTTTTCATATTCTGTTCTGTAAATCATCGATTAAAAGAATTCAGAAAATTATTTTTTTAATATTTTCTTTATTAAAATTGCTTTATTAAAATTATGCAAGAAATAGAAATTTTTCTATTATCTAACTTATTTCATAATTCTGCGTTCCAATAAGTGGCTTGCTTTCATACTTAATCGATTGGTTCTTTTCCAGTTTTACATAACAATCATGTAACGTTCATGATTACCATGATGCAAATGAAAATAAACATCAGATCTTAAACATCTGATAATTTGCTCTTATCATATTTAACATCACATTAAGATTATATACGCTTTTGAGGCTTTCACGGGTATTTTCTTCGATTATACCAGAAGGTTTGCGGGTTATCGAAAGACACGGCGATAACCCACAAACCTTCTGGTATAATCACATTAAGATGATCTATTTACCATTGTCGATTAAACAATTGTTAGGTTGTGTCGCTTCGTGAAAGTACTTCTAAAGATCATCTCTATGATGTACTGAATGCATATTCTTAGCTCATATCGAGAGCTTTTCGAAACACTAAAAAATAAAATATTTTTTCATTAAGTACTTTTCGAATTATAAGACTTGAAAATTACACAATACCGCAATCATACTATTATATACCCAAGATGTCCGACGGACTAAAACTTTTTAAATGTTGTTCTGGGTCATGCCCTGAACATTTATTAATATCAAGGCCATTAGAGATTGTTCCTATTATTTTTCATTTTCCGCAAAAAATTTATTTTTACATAAAAAATATAAGTCAGTATCTGTGAGGCCCGTGCTACTTTTCTATTTTATTTAATAAATAGCTAAATTTTAACAGTATAAGTTAAAAGATAGAAGGAAAATTAACTTAAATAAAATTCTGATAAGTAGAGAATTTGTAGTCTTAATTAATGGATAATTATATTACTATTACAAGAAAAATTTTACCTTTAAATTACGAAAAACATTATATTATTATGTTGCACATTAACTTATTATTTATGGAAGTTACTAACTTCAACTCAAGTCGACACGTCCTTAAAATAATTGCAATATTACTATGTACTTATATATGCATATAAGGACATGCACAATAATATTGCAAAATTAGTCATTATTCTCTCTAACCTATAATACACACGTATAAATAAAAATTCCGCACGCAAAAAAAAACAATATAACATATATTATCTGTATGCTTTATTCTGTTGCTCAGTACACGTTAGTTAATATTGTACATATACATATTTTATCCTTCAATATACATATGTATCTTGCGATATATAATTCTCATAAAGTTCTTAGAAGATATAAAAACAAGCAATTTCTAAAATTCTTATGAAAAGTATTAGATCATATTTGTGTGGCAAAAATTAATTAAATTAATTAAATGCCAACGAAACGCCAACTTGTGATATTTTTCGTAATATAAAGAATAAGATTATTGAGATCCGATGTATTTACGAATTTTAAATTATCATCCTTATATTTAAATTAATCAAGTATTATTCGGTGATATTATAATACTACTGTAGTATTTATGCGTTATATGTCTGATGTATCAGCGCGCATTTAAAAGGGGGGGCTACATATGTGGTATATAAGAATTCACTCATACTTATTATTAGCACTTTGATCCAGCTTTGACCGTTATAGGCGTTTAATTCCTTCATTGTTTGTAGACAATTTACGGTCGATACAAAAATTAGTTAATTAAATTAATTTCAATTAATTAATTCAAAAAACCCGGAAACTACAACAAAGACGCTACAAACAACACTATGTACTATTATTTATTATAATTGGTTTGTTCTGCTGTTTGGGCTTATTAGAATATCCTTTTGGACAATCTAGATTATATCTCTCTTATTTGTATGCCTTGGCCATATATGGAGCTTTTTTATGTATGTACGATGTTTACTATCCAATATGCATTGACGCATGGCAGAATAATGCAATATTCTTATCGGATATTAGAGATATTTTATCACCATTTCATCTATTCTTATTAGTTTCTATCGTTTTAAGATAAAAACTTTTTAATATTTTATTTCAATTCTTATACAATATAATTACTTAATTCTTTAATATTTCTTGTAATAATTTCTTAACTTTTGTTTAATGGTATTCCTAATTGAGAGCATTAAAGAATTTTGACACGCAATTATAAATTTTTTTTTATAACAAATATAAATTAGTAAAGAGTTCTTGAACAAATCAATATTAATGTTTATATTATTATCTATGTAGACGAAATACTATATGTTAAATTATTAAATATCTAGAATTACGGAAGCAGATCCGATCCTCTTGACCTTGACATATGTTATGTCATGACCATCGATATATAGAATGGACCGCTGATGGCAATGGTGGGGATAGAAAGACGGATAAATTGAGAGGCAGAAATAACATGATCGTTCTTTCTCTGTTTACTGATAACTACTGATTACTATTGATCGCTGTTAATTCAACAACCAATCAGGCTTCAGTAAACAGAGAAAGAACGATCATGTTACTTCTACCTCTCACTTTATCCATCTTTCTACCCCCACCATTGCCATCAGCGGTCCATTCTATGGGTGCGTTCCGAGTCGCGCATGAAGCGCATAGACTGCATAGAAAGTCGTTCCGAGTTAACTATTGCGCGCTTCGAAAGCGCTTCGAGAGTACTTGAATTCCTCAGATTGTACTAACCGTACTGAATTCTTAGCACTCC